AAGATGGGAGATTCTTTGAGATAGAGGAAAATGGAGATTGTTACACTAAAAAAACAAGTAAAAAATAATTCAAATATAGATTGCAAAAAATTGACGTGTGGATTTCAATACAAGGGTTGCATCCAATCTAAAACCAATTAGCAATAAATGAAGCAACCTTCCTTTTATTTAATTGATATGTGTCTTTGTTATATTCTTGATGTGAGATTTTCCTACTCAACATGTCCCCTCCCATGCAAGCCTAATACGAATGTCAAGTCCTATCATGTGGATCTTAAGCTAGGACTTAAGAAGCCCTCCTCACATGTAGGTCCAATCTCTCATAGATCTCGTGCTAGCAAATGGGTTTGAAATGTCATCCCCTCATGTAGGCCAAAATTGTCATGAGATATTGGGCTCTTCAAGAGCAATACCAGGACTTTGATATCATGTGAAAATTGTGCATATAATTTTCAATATAAGGCTTGCATCCAATCTAAAACTAATTGGTGATAGGTGGAGTAATCCTCTTTGAGCAAAAAAGTCCCATATTGAGGATATAACAAAAAATTAAGAGAGTTAAACATTAGAAGGACTATTCCAACTAATGCCAATTGGTTTTAAGTTAAATGCAAAACCTTGTATAGAAATTCACCTGCATAACTTTCACATATAATTTACAACATCCTTATATTAAGTAAATAACCCAATCATCCCTCTAATGAATAAGATATTCTTTCCAATTCATCAATTTCTTTAATAGTCTCTCCTAAACTTTTCTCCACATCCTTATCTTTTTTTCCATTCTCACAACCTATTTTGTTGATATAATTAGAATCCAAAACCCACAACATCAAAGATTTATTGCCAATTCTTACATGACTAGAGATGACCTACTCACCTGTAGGTTCATGTCTTTGATTACACATGGGGAAAGTTAGATGAAAATAAATTCAAAATTAAGGATACTTGTGGTGGACTGATGAAGCTGGGGACTATATTTTTAATGACCCACAAGGGTTCTTCTTATACATACTAGAAAATAATTGGATGAAATCTGGAAAAACAAAGAAAGGGACAGAAGAGGAAAAAGGAGGAAAAGAAAACGAAAAATAAAAGGAAAAAGTTGTTGGAAACAGGATAGAGGTGATTGTGAGGCAGACAAACTTTAGACTCCTTTGTTTGTCCTGAATTTTCTGCCCATATATAGCCCTTTTCTGCCCATGCCTGTGGTACGTAACTAAATTATTATCCTGTCATCAAATGGTAAGAAAATAATAATAATAATAATAATAATAATAATAAACTACTAAAGGTGACGAGGTAAATTCAGCTGGCATTAAGGAGTTTTGCTCAGAAATTACCCAACCAGCAACGTTTAAAACACTACTGCTCAACAACCATTCCAAGGTTGCAATAAGATGAGGACTTTTTTATCATCAATATTGCTCAGTCCTTAAACTATAAAATCTAAAAGCAGTATAAGGAGGTTGACACTGCCATGGAATAATTAATGCATGGAAAAGCTAGGGTGAGGGATGTTAGGGGTGTAGATCGGGAAAAAGAATTATTGGGAAGGCACGGACTTCTGAGATTATGACTAAACACTAAATCATGTACAGCGTGTAACGATAAAATCTCTTGGAAGTTTTAAGTTTGTAATTTATGTGAAATTTGATATATGAGTTTTAATACAAGATTTGCATCGAATGCAACCAGACAAATGGTACAGAGGGTAGTTGTGTGCAGAAAGCAGAAGAAAATACTGATATAAATTTTTGCTAAAACCAGACCCTCATTTATCTAGCTCTCGGCAGTGGCCGGCTATTCTGATCATGGTAAAATCAGTTTTTGACAAAACTTGGTACAAAAAGGAGCCAGAGGGTAATTCATTGAGAAAAGGCGAATTTGCTACAAGCCAACTCAAGGAAAATTTGTTGTCTTTTGGATTAAATGTTTTCCAAAAATCATGTCAAGCGCTGGCCGTATCTGTTGAGCTTTTAGTGAAAGATAGAGTAAAATGGGAATTGCCCAAGTACTATGTATGAATTTTGACGATTTTCTGTATATCAATGCATAATTTCTCTCAAACATTTCACCCCAATTCAAAGATTTCAAATCATTCAATTTCTATCACTTCTCTGTTTTTTTTGGGCCTTCGATTTCTATCACTTCTCTGAATGTACCTATCTTGTACATATTCGATATGAACCAATTCTACTTCAGGTACAAATTATGTGCTTTCGCAGATGTTCTCGAATCGAACTTCTTATCTCTTATCTTCTGCAGAAAGGGGAATTTTACTTGTAAACATAAGTACGTACAACAAGAGTAAAATACACATTGCAGCAGTCTGCCTGTGAAAGATCGAAAAAGGTAAAGAAGACTTGGAGTTTTGAAAATCATATGAACAAGTAATGAAAGGGAAATGGCAAGGCAAAGCAATAATACCGCCCCAATATGTTGGGGCATAACTATTGCACGATGACCATTGGAACAAATGAAAATGCCGAGGCCTGCCCACTTTAGATCTGATTTGAGAGTTCACAAGAGGATAAATGTTAACTTTTGTTGACCAAAGAATTATAGGATTTTTGTTCAACCATAAGTAACAAACTATGATGAGTGCATCAAAGACTGTACATGTTATATGTTAAGGAAAAAAAAAAAAAAACTAACGTGAAATGCATCATATCATTCATACATACAATCAAAACATTTCCAAAGAAAAAAACAAAGCCAAAATGAGCTAACCAATTTAGTACTTTATTATCCCAAATATTTAAATGAAGTTATTCTAAAGGTTTAAACTTTTATAATAACAAATGATTGATAAAAAAAAATTTTTTTTTTCCTTGCTGACAAGAAAAAATTCTAAGAAATGCTCATTCCTCTGCTTGCTAAATGAAAGAGGCGTAAGAACAAACAAATTTGTCCACGATCATTTCTAGTTAGTTGGGCCTTGCAACTACAACTCCAATTAAAGGAACTAAAATTCATATCTTGCTTCTATAAAAATAGAAAATATTCATGAAATCCTCACTGGCAATCCATGTGCATGTGTCATGGGTATACAACAAAGATCTTGCACATGTGCATACGCGAATGATGTTAAATTAATTAAATTAATTAAAGGGAGACGAAGCCGTCGAGAAAGGATGTAGCAAATGGGAGTTATGAATTTTTTAATCAAACTACAAACGAAGAAATAGAAAAATGAAATGAAAATGGGCATCTATTGCCATCTTAAACATATTTTCCTTTTTTCAGATCCAAAGTAATGGAAGTGGTGAGTATGGTTGAGATAACTACCAAATCCATCAATCAAATAATATATAATATAATATAGACACATTAAGTAAAATGACTCAGGTCGAAGTGCACTATTGGCCTAGTAATTCTTCATAATAAGATTTATAGTTTCTCAAAAGTTTAAATTCAAGTTATTAGTAATAATTATTATCCATACTTATATATCAATCACATTAATATATCTATTCTGATGTGGGATTTGAGCTGTTACAATTTCCCCTACTTGATGTCCTCATCAAGATCAGTCATAGTCAAAACTAGGCTCATAAGGCTGCAAGCATAGGATCCACTATCTCCCACACTTAAATGTTTGATTTTCTCATCAAGCCTAATTATAGTTAAAACAGAGCCCATTGAGCCACAAGCACAAAATCCATTTGAAGTGAGGTGAAGTCCACACTACCACTAACCATGATAATCAATATGGACCCACACCTACCAAAGGTGACTATTCTAATATAAATTGAAAAGACTAGCCAACTAAAAAAGAAGTTTGACACTAGCCTAACAACTCTTCAGGTCAAGATAAATAAGGTCTCAAAAATTTAAACTCAAGTTATTCATAATGGTTGGTCTCCACACTTATATATTAATCACACTCATATTTATATCCCAATGTAAGATTCGAGCCGTTATAATAAGACAAAAGGCTATAGTGTCATTCACAAAGCACAAGATAATTACAACTTTTCATTTGATACATATATAAATTGGACTCACGATGAATCCACCTTTTGACTTGGATGGGTTGTAGGCAATAATGCACTACTTTAATCACCTAATTTACTTGACCCTGATTAGCTTTTTCTTTAATAAACTCAACTACAAAGACATAAAGTGAATGCCATTGCAACCAATTTAATCAATATACTACCCACCCGTGAATCCAAAAGTATGAAGCGGCATATCATTCCTACGTACAATCAAAACATTAAAAAAAAAAAGAAAAAAAAGCCAAAATGAGCTGACCAAGTTTAGTACTTTATAATACCAAAAATTTTAATGAAGTTAGTGATCTAAAAAGGTTTAAACTTCTATAATAACAAATTGTCGAAAAAGAAAATTCCTGGCTGACAAAAACAAATTCCAAGTGCTGCTCATTCCTCTGCTTGCTAAATGAAAGAGGTAGAAGAATCAACAAATTTGTCCATGATCATTTCTAGTTCGCTGGATCTTGCAACTACGACTCCAAATAAAGGAACTAAAATTCATATCTTGTTTCTATAAAAATCCTCACTGGCAATCCATGTGCATGTGTCATGGGTATACAACAAAGATCTTGTACATGTGCAATGCGAATGATATTAAATTAATTAAAGAAGGACGAATCTGTCGCGAGGAAGGATGTAGCGAATGGGATTTATGAAATTTTCAATCAAACTACAAATGAAGGAATATAAAAATGAAATGGAAATGGGCATTATTACCATCTTGATCATATTTTTCCTCTTTTCAAATCGAAAGTGATGGAAGTGGTGAGGAAAGTGGAGATCACTACCACACAACAATGTTAAATAACAGACTCGAAGCTCATCATTAACCTAATAATTTTTTGGGTTAAGATTAACAAGCCATCAAAAGTTTCACTTCAATCATGGTTAGTGTCCACATTTATATACTCATACTTATATACTAATTACAATCATATATTTATCTTGATATGAGAAATTATAATCTCAAGACATCAAGTCCAACACAATAAGAAGTAAGCCCATTAGGTCACAAGTACAAGATCCATCTCAATTGATTTGAGGTTTGTATTACCATTACATTATGATGGTCAACATAGACTCACACTTACGAGAGGTGATCGCTTTACTACTAGCCTTCTTTGGGTCAAGGTATACAAGCCCTCAAATGTTAATAATGGTTGGCTATGACAATTATATACAATTTACACTCACAATTCCATCTTGATATTAGATTTAGGGTGTTACAATCTCCTCCATTTAAATGCTTGATGTTCTTATCTAGCCTAATCCCAGTCAGAACAAAGCCATCTAGGCCACAAGTACAGGATTCATCTCATGTGCAAACACCGACCATGATGGTTAGCATTGGTCCACACCTGGGAGAGAAGCAATAGCTTTGACACAAACTGAAATGACTCAAACCGAAGCCCACTATTGGCCTAACAACTTTTCAAACTAAGGTCCACAAGCCTTTAAAAGCTTAAACTCAAATTGATAATAGTGTTTAGTCGCTACACTTATATATTAATCACATTCATACTTTCATCCCAATGTAAAATTCAAGGCATTACAGTAAAGATAAAAGGCTGCAATGTTGGACAACAAAGATTAAGCAATGTCATTCACAAAGCACAAGAAAATTACAACTTTTCATCGGACATATAAATAAATTGGACTCAAAAATCCCACCTTTTGACTTGGATGAGTTGTAGGCAATAATGCATTACTTTAATCAACTAATTTGTTTGATCCTAGCTAGCTTTTTCTTTAATAAATTCAACTACAAAGACATAAAGTGAATGTCATTGCAACCAATTGAACTAATATGCTACCTACCCGTGCATCCAAAAGTATAAAGCATAGATGCTTAATATACACTAAAAACATATTACAACAAACAAAAGTTATAACAATTAATAAAAGGAATTGTCTAACTTAGTGCACAAGTTAAGAGCATAATAAATGCATCTTTTTTGTAATTAATTCACATTAAAAATGATAAAAGTTGACATATATTTTAACATTACTGACACGTGAATGATTTTAATTAGTTAATTGATTAAATCAAAGTCAACATTTATATTTTTAATGAAAATTAATTATGAAAATGTGCATTTATTGCATCCTTATCTTGCCCCTCAAGGGCATAGGATAGAAAAATCCTCAATAAAATACCGCAAATTTGTTGGCAATTGAATTGGAATAGAGGAGGATTAATCAAATAAATGAAGTTCCTAGCTAGCTAGATACATATACTATACAATGACCCACGCAACATGTATAAAAGAAGAAAGAAAAGTGGCAAGTTAACTGGATGAATTTAAGTACTTGGCTGGCCCGTGAATATTTGTAAGTCTAGCTAAGTTCGAGAAAGATGGAGAAGCATGTAGGTACTATTTTTAAAAAAACAAAGTTTTATATATATGTATATATATATATATATGTATGTATGTATATGTATATGTGTGTCTTATTTTACTGTTCAAACTGTAAAATAGGAACCATCTAATGGGGAGAGGGCCTCAAATATCAAGAGACACTCCTCTATCAAACAATTACAATGCAAACTATAAAACACTTTTTTGTATATATATATATATATATATATAATTGAGGAAAATCATGACATCTTAATAATTAAAATGTCAAAAATGATAACAAAAATACTAAAATACCTTTAATCAATCAATACATAAAAAATATTCATTAAGGGTGTTACCTATGCTCTTAGTTTTACCCACAGGTGGAAGGTTCAATCTCTAGTCTCTACATATCAAAATATTCATATTTAAACAAATTAACTGAAAGTTCTAGCATATTTAAAGTGTTAGAACATCTTGATTTTTACTTTTATATAAATAAAAGATGGCTGTAAGAAATGATCAGAAAGCTATAGTTGCAATTGAAGAATTAGGTTTCTGCACATGAAAATCAGTTATGGGACAGATGAGAACTGGTCAGGTCTCATCTTGCCCTTATTTAATTGAAGCTAGATCAACCATGTATTTGGGAAAATGCTTTATTGTTTCTAGTGTACAACATACATATCCGTGTAGAAATTGAAACTAGGAATATATGGATACAGATCCCTTCTTCTTGAAGCGCATATGCATGCATTCAGAACTGATCTTACAAAACATCTTAGTCTAAACAAAGACAAGACAGCATGTTTGCCACCAACTACTCTTTACCATTTCTTAGGGAAACAAGGATAATATATCAACCCTAATCTATTTCCTTTTTCACAATTCAAAATATGAAAAATATAGGACTCCATCTCTAGGTTATTACCTCACCCTTTTTTAAAAAAAAAAATTTGGTTGTAAACTTTTCCATATCTTTTATATGGTCCACCCTCCACCCTAATTTAGAGTAAGATCCATATCCATGTAGAAATTGAAACTAGGAATATATGGATTCTGATCCTTCTTTTTGAAGCGGAAATGCCTTCAGATCTGATCTTACCAAACATCGTAGTCCAAACAAGATAAGACAACATGTTTGCCACCAAACTAGTCTTTACCATTTCTAAAGGGAAAAAGGGGTAATAAATCAAACCCTAATTCGTTCCCTTTACTCAATTCAAACTTTCAAAAGATCAAAAATAGGACTCCAACTCTAGGTTATTACCTTATCTTGATTTATTTTTTTTTTTTTCAATTTTCGTGTAAAATAAAAGTTAACCCTTTTTCCATATTCTTTTATATGGTCCACCCACATGCCTACAACTTCCTATCAAATACTCTTCTTCTTAAATAAAAGCTTCACCTAACCACATTACATTCAAATTCATATGAAGCTTAAAGGTATACAAAAGCCAAAAACT